GGTAAACCAACGGCTGTTTCCACCAGGAACCAGGAACCAGAGGGGAGTACGAGCACCGTCTTTTTTCAATTTCCTCAGGCCGCTAAGCAAACAGAGTGAGGGACCATGTCCTGGATCCTGAATCCTGAATCCTGGTCCCAGTCCTGCTTTCGGACTGTGCGCCTTTTAAGCGTGAAATTATATAAAATATCCTTTAAAAAGCTTTTGATTTCGCTTCCCTGTCCCGGACTGGGCGTAGTATATGCAAATGCCTTTTCATCTGCTTAGCGCAAAAAGTTGTTTTCTTATTTTCCAAGGCGACCCAAGTTGGTCCTCCCTGAGTCCTCCCTGTTCCACCCTGTTCCTCCTCTGGCTCTCTGGTAAATCCTATTTGCATGCCTTTGTCTGAAGTTGACCTCGTCGACGGTGTCGTCTCTGACGACTGCGTCAGGTGTTGCCTACAGGATACTAATGTCCTCCTGTTAACGCTCTTAATGGCACAGACAAGCAAGCTGCCTGCATAATGGAGTTCTCCTCCATCGCCATCGCCATTCCCACACCCATCCCCACCCGCATCCCCATCCCCATCCGCATCCGCATCTCCACCTGGAACTGTCTCCATCTGTCAGCTGCATTCATTCACCTGCTCTGGAGCTCTGGGGTCTTCCTCCCTGTCTAATGTTAATGACATCTCCTGGGCCAATGCATCAGACCATTTTGGGTAAGGCCTGGTGGGGACCTTAGAAAAACTAGCTCAACGGCTAGCTGAAGTGAAAGGATACCAGGAGGAAGCTTCAGTAGAAGGAACACTCGACAATAGACCTATAGCTACCCTATCTTGAGCTCAAATAGTGGGCAGCTGCAGTGGGAAACTCCTGAAATGTCTGTGAAACGATCTTCTTGGTGCCGGAGTCTTTAGAGAGCCTTCCAGATCCTTGTAGAACAAAACGATCCCCAAAGACAATCCAAAAAACACATATACCCTAAGCACAGGTGGACAGCATCTACAGCATCTACAGCATCTACAAGCTGCCCCCTGCCGTACCCTTGCTCTCCATTTGGGTAACCGGGTAGACAACAAAATTAGCATTACTTCCGAGTGATCACAATCTGCGCATACTAATTGCTCTCGACTTCGACTTCGACTTCGACTTTGCCTTCGACTTGGGGCTCTCTGGATTCATTCATTCATGGGGGCAATCATTGAAGGAAGGCCTCCTCGCCAAACTTGGAATTGCCTGAATGATTCTGCTGTGATTTTTTCCAGCCTGTCTAGACGCATCGTATAAGGCAACGGCGACGCAATGAGAGACTCCACTCGAGTGGAGACTCCACTGGATTCGACGCAACGCAACGCCACGCAATGCGATGCCATATGGACTGAGGGTAGAGCGGGTTCTTCTCTGGTCTCTGGTTGCGATTCACGGGAAAACGGGAACCCTTGGCTTTCTTTCTTACGAAACGGGCACAAAACACCAATCATCCACATCATTGTCAACACGCCGTCGTCTTCGTCTTCGTTGTCTTTGTCGTCAGTCCATAAACGGATCGGATGCTTCGTTTTGCCATTTAAGGATCGCAGCAGCTCTGTGGCCTGTCATAACTCTTGGTAGGCGTACGAGTACGAGTACGAGCACCATGGATACTTTTGCCCCACGATGCTGAATCTGAGCGCCAGCACACGCATCGCATCGCAGCGCATCGGTGCACTATGCGATCAGCCCAACCATCTCATCCCATCCTATACGATCCTCTTCTCATCTCATCGCATCTGTGGCAGCATTGCCAAACGTCCAAAAAAGGCGCAGACGCCGCAGCTTCATGACGCGCGCTGGGAATATCCAAGCATCGTCGTCATACTTTCGCTGCCAGTCCACTCATTTGAGAGCGCAATCCAATGCAATCCATACTCGTATACGTATACGTATGCCTTTCCATACCGAACCACCGATCCATCGATCCACCGATCCACCGGCCAGCTGTCTGTCCGGACTCCGGACTCCGGAGCATTGAGCCACTGATCTCTCTCGAGCGTTCTCAAGCGTTCAAAGTGTCAAGCGTCAATTGCCGTTGAAGTTTATTGCCTTGGCAGCAATTAAAGCATTTTTTTCGGCCTCTGGCTCGGGCTCTGGGCTCTACTCTTTGCTCCGATTCGGGGCTTGGCCCAATGTGACCAAAATCAATCCATTTTGATTTGATTTCTTGATTGGTTGTCAGGGGAATTGCCATGCAGAATTGAATTATCAAATTAGAAGCTGACTCTCGGCAGTGATATATACGACTATAATTGATATCCGGAGCGATAGGATAGGATATGAATCACAGCGAAGTATCTGGCGACTTTCAGTTTTTTTAAAAGAATTTTAATTAAATTCGATTTTTAAATGTGTTGTTTTTTGTTATAAACGATGATAAACCTTTCAATTCCGATCAAATAATGCAGTTGTAAATGATGTAAATAATTATATCTTATGAGAACATAGTCCTCTATATATGTACGTGGGCTGGTAGTTAAGTTTCTGGTCTATTTAGCATATTTTGTCACTCGAAAGGAAGTAATTTTAAAACAAGTCTTCAACAGGCGTCGAAAATCGTAGACCACTCAATTTTTTTTTAAAGCTGGGAATAAAATTATTTCAGTAGGTGTATGGATATGTTTGCAAGTCAGAGGACCCCTTGATTCCATATCTGTTCACTGAGGCGATGTGTGGGAGCTCGGATTGTCGTAGTAAAGTACAATCCGCATTTGGAGTTTGGTTTTTCTCAATTAGCCAAAAGCTTCCGACCAAATGATTTTGTGTACCAATCAGAATTTATCTTCTTACTTTTCTCTATTCAAAAATGTGTTCCGTCTGGCTATAATAATGATCCGATCTGATTCAGACTCTGCAGTCTGGAAGATATGGTTGTTCTCTATGGTTCTGCATTTTTGGTTTGGTTTGGACAACCGGACAGGGAGACATGGCTCTATCGACTCGGCTATTGGTACATGTACTTTTTGGGGTCCTTCTGGACGTTACACACATCCATTTTTCGCACTAATCGAATATACCCCTATACTCTTTTTGAGTATCGGGTATAAATCAGACGACCATTTGAAAAAGTTTCTCAATTTGTGTGTAATTTGATTTGCTCTTAAACACGAATACCGTCAGATCAGTCATAACATGTTACGATGTTAAAAGCTTACCCTGAGTGATCGTGGCTGTATTTGATAACTATGTCTTCGCATCAAGGACCAATCTTCAAATCACTTTTTCCACTGCTCTGAAACGAGTGTTTTTTTTTTTAAGTGAATGCCAAATTATGAATGTTGTATCTTACGACAAAAATTCTTCTTGATGGCCAACAGTCTTCGTGCAAGGTGGAATGTATCTTGGTCGCTCTTATCCCCAAAGATGCCTCTATTGCATGGTTTGTCATATGACAATATTATTATTTTCAATCCCGAACAGTATCCATTTTTTCTGACGATCCTAACGAAATTCGATAAAAACGATTCGATATCGATTCGAATAAAACGCGACATTAGAAGAAAGAGTTCTAGGCATGATTTTTGGCCAATAAAATTTGAATGTGGCGGTTCATACAAAAAATAGCCAAGGCCACGGACAAAAAAGGGAGTCCTGGCAGCTTAAGAGATCATAAGAAAGAAGATTTTCAAAAGTTTCTTTAAGGTTACAGAACTATGAGTCAAATTGATTCCATTGTAGGGTTACTTTAGAAACCAAAAAATAATCAGAGAAGAATCTAGACATTGCAGATTTCACAGCATGAAAAAGTTCGTAAAAATTATATTACACAAATTAGAAATTTACACTTTGTGTCGCAAAGTCGGGGCTTATTGCAATTTGGCTAAGTAAGTTTTTATTGCCACCGTTTGGGCTTCAGTTTTGGGACTTCTCCTGCCACCCATTGCACCGTTCTGCCCTATAACTCAAAGGGAAAAATTCATCACCGCAATATGCGCAGCATACATATATCTAAAAAAAAAAAAACGAAGCAAAGGAAGGAAAAAAGAAGTGGCACTGGCAGTGGCAGGAATATTGTCATAAAGGTGCAACTGACAGCCAGAGAGAAAGAGGAAGCGAGGATAGTAAATTTCAATTTATATGCAGAAAGAACAGTGAGTGAAGAGGCAGACACAGGACACAGGACACACACACACATACACACACATATTGCAGGGGGCAAGGAGCTCCAACGGAAAAAGTGTCAACGTTATATTTTCTCGAATTTCCCAAGATTTTTCGTGGCATTTTATTTCTCCTCATTCTCCTTCCCAGTTTTGTTGGATTGCTGCGACGCAAGTGGAAAACGCAATTTCATTAGACAAATTGAAAAAAATAAGTGCAAGCGTACACAACAATACCAACACTCCCCTCTATGTGCGAGGGGCTCCTATATAAGCACATCGACACCACATACTACATATGTATACATATATATCGTATGTATATACGATGGTCCATGTATTCGAAAGGAGACTGACGCCATGTTGTGGCCAAAAGCAGAAGATTCGTTCGCTGGTCGCTCGCCATTCGTTGCGATTAGTGTTTGCCCACATTTTCCCTGACGCGCGCATACGTGTAGGAGCTGCTGCTGCTGCTGCCTCGTGGCAGGGATACACTTACATATGTATATGGAAGTGCCGTCCAACGGCGGAGCAGCCTTGTCCTTGTCCAACAGGATGCTGCGCGCGCGTTGAAAAGAGGCGGAGACTCTCTGCCCAACCAGCAGCACTTGAGGCAAGCGAGGCAAGCGAGGCAAGCGACGCAAGCGAGGCGCCAAGCGGCACGACAAAAAAAGCAAGGAAAGATGCAACCGTTAGCTGCCTCTTCCTTATCAAACGATTCGGGCCGGCACTCGCACATTCGCATTCCCGGCTTCGCTTTCCCCCAAAAACGATGCGTCGTTGCTGATTGGAAGCTTCGGCGCTTGCCTTTCGTTTTTGGGGCGGAGCAAAAGCTCTCGACTCGACTCGACGCAGTGGCGCCGTCAAACGGGGGAGCATTTTCCGCTGAATGGGTGGCGGGTTTGTTTTTATTTCACTCTTACAATACATCCACCTCCCGAGCGGCTGCTATCATGCCCACGAAACCCTCCGTCACCTCTCGGGCAACTGGAATAATGTCCTCGGGTGGCAGGACAAACCCGAGCTCTCCTTTGTCCCTCAGTTCTATGGTGTAGGGAATGGTGATGTTCTTCACAGCATAGGCCCATTCCTTGCCAGATCCAGAGACTTCATCTGAGAAAGAACATAAATATAATGGGGAAATACTAAAGGATTAACAAATGGTAACCCACATAAAGTTGTGGCACTAGAACCGTAGGTGAACACCGTGCCATATCTCCTGTAGAGTGCATCCGAGAAGCCCTTGGCTACATGCATCATCTGGGGATAGTGCTCGGGGAATTCCGCATCGGTGTGGCCCCAGGGGGAGAGCACATACTGTCCGTAGGAGTGCAGGGATATATAGATCTTGATGGTTCCCTCTGGTATTGAGTTATTGATATACGCCGTCAGTTGGCTGATCTCTGGATCGGATTCGGCGGAGGGTCCGGCATAGATCTCGGAGCAGGGATCAGCACTAGCGCCTGTCACTAATGATTAACATAGAAGCTTTAGTTTCTGGTGGATCGGTAAATGTATAGATGGTACTGACACATCCAAAGGAAATCAAAGTTGCGATTTAGGTCGGTGCCAATACACTCCCCCGTTGGATCCGAGGGCATGCGAGACTTGCGCCACAGTCGTTCCTACCGGCAATCGATCAGAGAGTTATTAATCGCAATTGATTGCCACTTAGAGTAGTTGGCGATAAGATTAGTGGCATCGTAAATGAATCGGCACGTATTTGATCTAATCGCATCGCCGGATACGACTTCCACTCACCACTTCATGTGAGTAAACAAATCCATCCACATTCAGGACGGGTATGATGTACCAGTCCACATTGTAGGCCAAATCCCTGACCCCAGGGTTGCGGGGCACCAGCAGCTCATCGATGAAGTAGGTGATCGTCGCCGAGGTAATCCATTCGCGGGCATGAATATTTGATTCAATAAATACAGCTGGATTTCCCTCCTGATACGAGATCTTCACGCCACGAATGGGTCTTCCCTCGTAGGAGTCGCCAATTGTGAAAGGTGTGACTATATCCGGATAACGCGACTCGATCAGATCCAGCCACGCATAGATCTCGTCCAGGGTGTGGTACTGTGTCCATTCGTGGTAGCCAGTGCGCTGCAAGGACCTTTGGGCATCGATGTGCCGCTGAACATTGTCGATCTTGAGGCTGTAGCTAATGTTGTGCTTCAGCAGGAGACTCTCAAAGGTCTCCTCGTACTGGGGGGCCACCATAATGTCCGAGGATTCTCCCAAATGTCTCACCTCCCGCCAGCTGCTGAGCTAAATGATGGATTGTCAGAGAGATTCCTTATAGAATGCATGATTTTCCCTACCCTCAAGACTTTCTCCTGTGCATTGAGCAAGTTGAACTGCTGCCGATCATCGATCCGCACATTGTAGACCTTGTAGTTGTCGTAGCGCACTTGCTCTACAGCCGAAGCGATGCCGAGGAGGGCCAAAAACAGGAGTCTTTTAACCAACATACCTCTCTATCTGAGAGTCAACTGTGAACTGGGCCCAATGCCGAGTAATTGCTGGCTGATTAGCCGCTTCTTATCGCTCTGGTGTGACTGCCCATGGAGCTCATTGAATTGCTTGCCTCTGGATTCCGTTTTTATTTGGCTTTTATCAGCCATAGTCGTAAAAACTATTCAAAAGTCTGGGGAACGGGAAGACGACTTCAAGCGGACAGCTTGAACATGTCTGGGCCGAGGGTAAACCACAGCCATAGCTGGAGCCGGAGCTGGAGGTGGAGCTGGAGTTGGTAGCGTAGTCCGTCCGTACTTGTACTTAGGCTGTCTCTCAACTTTGCACATAAATTTTGTGCAACGCCAGCGCCCATTTCATTGTAGGTCATTGCATAATGAAGTTACCGCCCCGAGGCACATAAATTTCCCTCGAACTCGAGGAGATTTCTGTGGCTGTCTGCTGCTCTGGTGCTCTGCTTCTCTGCTGTGTCTTCTGTGTCTTCTGTGTCTAGTGTCTTCTGTTTGACTTTTGGCGGTGCGGTGTGCTTAGTGTGAACATTTTGCTTAGGCCTGTTTTATGCCCCCCTCTCTGACAGTCCTGACAGTGTCCTGTGGCGAGCGCTTAAAGGAGCTTTGTGCCTGGGCTTTGGTCATATTTTGCGCGGGTATTAGAGGAACACGCCTTGGTCGTTGTCACCGCATGAGGTGCGTCAATGTGTGCCTTATGGCCAGGACTTCGTCTTCATTCTTTGGAGAGTGTGAGGTTTCTGTAAGTGCTCGGGGTTCTGGACATGAAAGGCGCATCAAAGTGGATTTCGCTCGCCATGAACACGGGCAATGACATGACTGTGGTGGTATTTCGCAAAAATGTTAATGTTCCGGTGAAATATTGGTGGAAAATGCAAAACTTCCATACAAAAGCATTCCATCTCTTGGGGAAAAAGGTTTAACAGCCGCATTAAATCAGGGATTTACCACCACTTTACAAGCCACTGAGCTTTGGTTACTTTACAGGTTGTTTTTAGAAGGTTTCTTGGCTGTTTTATTGGTCAATAATTCAGCAAATTGACTTACTTTACTTTTAGTGTACGTTCACTAGAAATCACATAGCCTAGGAGGCTTTGGAGAAACTGAAAAGTAAAGTGGCTTACATCTTAGATCTTCAGAGTAAATTCTGTCATTGCAAACATTTGTTTACTTTCAAATTGTCGAGCAAAAAGCATAAAAATGTTGAAATATTTCTTGGAAATCGTGATCACGTTCTTGGTCCTGCTTGGATTGTGGTGCACACTGCTGTACCCCTCGGTGCATCCGGACACCCAGTGGGACTACCCGACTTTCGAAATTAAGATTGACAATGTGAGGGAGGCCTTCCAAGAGGCCTGCAAATATACGGCGATTTGTTCATTGGTTCTGCGCTACCTTCCCGCGACTGTGCACTTAGTGTTCGACAAGTACCCCTGGACCTACGCTCTGGCCTACATGTTGCACACTGCCTATTTCTATGGCAAAAGTTGCTACAGAATGATGACAATGTGGCCATTGTCAAGCCTGCTGGAATCGGAGTCCTTTAAAGAAGCTTACACATATATGGCACTGCTCTTTCTTCTGCAGCATCTCACCGCCGTCGGGCTGAACTCCATGCTGTGCTTCATCCTCCACTCGCAGCACCGGCCTGGGCTGCGCTGGCGACTCTTCTGCTGAGGACGACGTCGTGGGGAAGATTTTTAGTAGAATGGCTCCAGCAATTTTCAGCGGATTATTTGATTAGCCCGCTAATTGCCTGCTCGTCCTTCCGCACCATATAAATTTGTTCAACACTTATTTCTTATCAGCCGCAATAAAGGACCCAAGCACAGGATTAAAGCTCTCCCTTTCCACTCTCCCACTCCCAGTACATAATTTTCTCTCCACGGATTACACAGCCTGTGGCGAAAACTTCCGCGGAAACTTTCAACACCTTGTCGTGGGTCTCGGGGCGGGGAAATTGCGGTGAAAACTTTTTAACCAGCAAAGAAGGAACGAACCAGAAAGGAAACCACCAGAGCCAACACTTGTCCTGGCGCGTGCGATAAGCCAACGCCGCATTTTTAATTGCCAAAGTCCTTGAAAGCCTTGGAGCCGTGCGGAATCGAGGGAATCGCTTAAAGCAGCCCATACTGGCCCAGCCCAGCCCAAGGATGGCTGTCAGCGGTCTTTAAAGTGTCATAAATATCACCAGGCAAACATTTCCGGCCTCACAACTTTTTGTTAGACACTTTTAATTGTGTAGTCGTATATGTAGCAGGTCCTGTGACAAAAAATAACGCTGCCATTACATAAATCTTGGCTCTTGAGGCCGGGAGCACATGTCGTATGCTTAATATTTTCCACTCAACTCAGCGGCTGGAAAAAATGTCAATGCCGGAAAGTGTTTAGCATTCGCTTTTTTCTTGCCCCGCCGTGGATTTAATTAGCCTCAAAATGTCTCGAGGAAAATGGCAACATGGCATGCCACATGGCCTCGCCACCGCTGCCCAGTCGAGAGGGTCAGGATAAGCCAAGGAAGTCACCAAGTCACCAAGTCAAGGAAGGAAGTTGCATGTTTGGCCTCAAGTTCAATTTGCTATTGCTTTCAGCAACATTTTTGGACAGGACAGCCAAAATGGAGAGGGAGCTGCCTATGGGAAGCGATACGAGTAGGCTGCAGAGAAGAGAGGTATTTGCAGAGGTTATTGTAATCTAAAACTTACCCAAGATGATGCATGTTCTTTGGCCATTCCATCCTCTCTGCTGAACCGCTGAATCGCTGATTGTTATCATCATAATTACGACTACGAGCAGTATCCCCTGCCTAGAGCGGGTCTATTGTTAATTTGACTTCATTTCCAGGTGGAACATTCCACGAACAATTGCAGCAAAGTGGTTCGCTCTTCCATGCGTTCGACACGCCCCACTGGATCGGCAATTACTCGTAGAGCAGCAGCAGCAGCAGGAGAAGCAGCAGGAGAAGGAGCAGGAGCAGGCAGGCATAATTAATGTGCCGGAGCAGAGGTGGAAGGCCTTTCAATCTAATTGCCGAACGGGCACACGCACGTGTGATCCGATCCACTCCATTCGATCTTCAACAAGTGCCACTTGTGCACCTTGGGCGTGGCACATGCCAAACATTATTCCGTGTTCAGTAAGCGATTATTTTTTCAGTTGAGCATTTCTTCCATCGATTGTTTTCTCTTCGTGTGTTTGCTTTTTTGAAACGTCGTCGCTGGCAGCTATTTATTGTTAAATGAAGCGATTTGTTTGTTGTCGTTATGCGTCGGAGCGTTAAAACATTTTCGCTTTATTTTTTCTACTCTCGAAAAGTTGTTTTTGCACTGCCACAGAACGAACGTAGAACGGTGGCGATACGTACGGGGAGAGCACGGGCACGAGTACAGGTATAGCCTCAGGTTCAAGTGGTTGGGATTTTTTGGCACATCGTTTGGTGGATCAGGTGGCAGGGCGTGAGGGGTGTGGGGTGTGGTGTGGTTGCCTTCTAAACGCTGCCGTCGATGTGTGAATTGCAAACAAGCTGCGGCAGCTGTTGAACATCCAAGAAAGCAAGAGAAAGGGAACTGCGTTAGAGAAATGTACAAAAATGTGTTGGAATATTTTTTCGGAAATTCCTATAAGAAAAGCTGGTGGGGAGACTGGTAAAGGAAATTCATGAATTTCCTTCTATAATTAAAGAGTATGCAAGGCGCAGATAAATGTACCAATAATCTCATGAATGTTTCCCAGAAAAGCATTAATCATACGGACATAAGTCCGCTCCTGCCACAATCCCACATCATTGACTTGATTCCACCTTGACATTCCTTTACCTCGAAAGCATAGAACCCACATCAACGATCTCAGACATGCTAACTAAGCCCTTCACCACTCGCATACTCTCATACTCTTATGGGAGTACGTATGTATGTACGCAAATGCCACCGTGGGCGTTTGTCTCCGCCTAATCCGCTTTTAAAGTAAGTGAACAAAAGTGAAAAAAGTCCAAAAAAATACAACCGAAAACCGGAAATCACAAGTCAAGTTGATGAACTGTCGCTCTGGCTTCGTTGTCCTCGTCTGAAATCGGGCAGACACACATCGTGGAGAGAGGAACACACAAAACACATGGATGGCACCTGCAAAAAAATGCAAAAAAAGGAGAAAAAAAAAACTTTGCAGACACATTTACCAGGCAATCCCCAATCCATGGTCTGTCTCCACCTTTCGCTGTTAGAGATTTACGCATTTATTTTGCATTTTTTATACTATGCCCCACACAAAACATGCGCGCAGATTTAAGGAAATATCACATCACAGTAGAGAGACAGAAACCAAAAGGTTTCACAACGAGTTGAGTTGGTTAGAAACATTTTTCGGTTCGGTTGTCGATTTGCCTTGCGTTGACATGACAAAAGGCGCAGATCTGCATACATTTGCATGTCATTGGACGGCACGGGACGGCAGGGCAGGGCAGGGCACGGCAGGGCAGGGCAGGGCGGGCGAGTGGAATGCATCATCAGGCAAGGACACCGAAATCCCCTTAAGACATTGGGGATTGGTCCAAAACATGCCGTTTGCCCAAGTTAACAATATGTTAAGTTGCCTTAAGTCAGCCCCCAGCTTCAGCTTCAACTTCAGTTCCCAGTACTCAGTACCCAGTCCCAGTCCCAGTTCCAGCTCCTGCCTCGGACTCAACGAGTTAATCGCTTAATGTCTCCCCAGCCTGTGCCTTTCAGTCATTTGTCAGCTGTCTGTTCGGGGCTGCTGCTGGAGTGGGGTTCTGGGTTGGATGGGAGCCCGGCCATAATTGCAATTTGTTTGAATTAACTGGTGAGATCTACGAATAACGCTATTGGCAGGCCCGTCCTCCAAAGAGCAATAGTCGCCACACCACTTGAAAATCCCAAATTTATTGCCGTGCTTATTGCTTTCATTTGGTCAGCACTCGAGGCTAATGTCCTCTCACTATCGAGTGACCCCCGAAAAGGTACGAGTAATAAATATCAAAAGCACCCTAGAGGCAA